CCCCCCCCCCCCCCCCCCTCACCCCTTTCCTTTGCCCCCATCCCGAGCCCTGTCATGTCTGTCGCCAACGTCCTCCGGCCCACCTTTAACCTGGCTCTTCGGCCGCGGCTCTTCGCCACCGGCACTTTCGCCGCCTACCGCGTGTCCTTCGGCTTCAATCAAACGGGCGGAGTCCGGTCCGCGCAGCTGCCCGAGAGGCTCCTCATTCAGGATGTCTCCTTCTCGGTGCAGCCCGGCTCGGCGGTCCTCCTCCATGGCCCCAACGGCTCGGGCAAGACCACGCTCATGCGGCTGGCCGCCGGTGAGTTGATCCCCACGTCCGGGATATTCACCTGGCGCGGGCAGCCATTCACCCATGCGGCGGACCTCAGCAAGTGGGCGCACCAGCACATGGTCGAGATGCCGGCCCTCAATGACGGCATGAGCAACCTGCTCACCGTGCGCATCATGATGCGGATTTTCTCCCTCCGCCGTGGCTTTGGCGGCAAGGAGATTGATGAGGCTCTCCACATGTTCAAGATCTACCATCTCCGGTGTGTCCCGCCGCCGTCGCCCTCCTCGAGCCTGGCCCTCCCCCCTTCGCCTTCCCCCCTGGCATGGTGCACATGATCCTAACCTTGGTCTCCCCCCCCTCTCCCCCTCTCCTCCCTCCGACTCAGCAATCGGAGAATCGGCACCCTCTCCACTGGGCAGCGACGCCTGGTGGCATTCGCCAACATGTGGGCCTCCCAGCGACTCATTTGGCTGTTGGACGAGCCGAACATTGCCCTTGATCTCCGGTGCGTGCCGACCCCTCCACCGACGCCAGCTTGTGGCCATGCCTTCCCGAATGGGCTTACTGACCGGCCGCACACACACCTCCAGCTCGCAGGCCGGCATCGAGGAGGCCATTCGCATGCACCGCGATCGTGGCGGCATCGTCATCGTTGCCTCCCACGCAAACATTGTCCTCGAAGACGCCGTGTCCATCCGTATTCGCTGATGCGGATCCTGGCTCGGCTGCCGCCGACCCCGACCCCCTCCCGTCAGCCCTTCTCCCAGCCGGGCGCACAATCCCCCCTCCCCTAGCCCTCTTCCCATTGTTTTCCTCCCCCTCTCCCCCCTTTAGACCGCGCCCCCGGAGGAGAAGGGAGCCCAGTGGTGGGGCTGCGCGCGCCCTGCTCGAAAGTAACATGCAAAATACACCCCACCCCTTCGAATGCCCCACCCGCGCCCCCACGTACCAGAGCCGGAGAGCTAGAGAGAGAGAGAGAGAGAGAGAGCGAGAGGGAGAGAGAGAGAGAGAGAGCGAGAGAGAGAGAGAGAGCGAGAGAGAGAGAGAGAGAGAGAGAGCGAGAGAGAGAGAGAGAGCGAGAGAGAGAGAGCGAGAGAGAGAGCGAGAGAGGGAAAGAGAAAAAGAGAAAAAGGTCTCATCCCGCGCGCGTCCATGCAGCTGCCGCGTTCCGGAAACACCCCCGGCCGGTTCCGGGCGTGAGGCCCCAGCAGAGACCTGGCCTATCCGTTGGCAGTCGCCACTCTGGTGCCCGATCGCACGTCCGATCTCGCAGCAGCGGAACCCCCGGGACCGAGCACAAACGCAATGGGGGCGTTCTGATCCTGCCCCCCCCCCCCCCCCCCCTCTCCTGGCGGGCCCAGGGCCGGTCGCCTGCCAGGCTCGTGGCACGGCGGCCGATCTGTCCCAAGATCGACGCATACAGAGGGCGGAGGGCAAAAAAAAAAACAAAAAAACAAATCCCCCCGCCCCCGTCGCCTGGCTGTTGGCCTGCATCAACCCCCTTCACCCGCTCGCCGCCACCTCCCCCGCACCTCTCCCCCCGCCCCTTCCCGCCCTGACATCATGGCCACCACCAGCCCCTTCCCGGCGACCGAGCCGGAACTTGTCAAACTCCCGCTCCTCGCCATCGAAAAGCGCTTCATCAATGACTGCATCCGAGGTTCGGCCCCTGCTCGCGTGTCACGCTCCCTCGTCTTCGCGCTCCCCCTTGCCCCCCGCCGCACGATGCCACACTTGTTAACCTGCCTCCTCCTCGCCACCCACCGCCAGCCATCTGCCACAGCATCTTCCTTGCCCGGCACTTGGACCAGGTTCGCCCGAAGGACTTCCACGCAACGGACCCCGATGCCGCAGGACTCGACGTTGTGTGGGTGCGACCGCCCCCCCTCCCCCTACCCCCGCCCCCTCTTCTGCTGCCTTCGGTCTTCTTACCCTGCCCCATGCTCCCCTCCGGCACCAGGCCGGTCCCGACATCTTCGGCTCGTCCGAGGGCCCCGCTGCCGACTCCTCGAGCAAGTCCATCCAGCACTTCTTCAACACCCTCAGCGAATCCTTCATCAAGGAAATCCCCCAACGCTTGTCTCAGGTCCAGGTGACCTCACAGCCGCAGCCCACCTCCTCGGACGACATCTATATCGACATTTACGATGTGACCAGCGTCCCGGCCGATGCTCTGGGACAATCGCCCGATCGCGCTGCCGGGCCACCCCCCGGACGCCACCTCGAGCGGTGGGTTCTCCCCATTCAACTTTTGACCGACTCCAGCCGCGGCCCGGTGGAGCTCTTCAACATCGAAGCCCCGCGCCCCGGTGGAGGTGCTCTTCCCCCGCCCGACAACTCGCCCGGGGCGGTGGATGGTGCGCCCTCTCGACGGCTCCCTCCTCGTCCCCCTTGCTCCTGTTCCCCCCCCCCCCCCCACACACACACACCTTGGCTTGCATCTTTGCGGCCCCCTGACACCCGATGGCCCCCTCCCCCTGTACCACCACCGATCCCCCCCCCCCCTTCGTAGCTCGCTTGAAGCTTGAGAACATCCTCGCTCGGATCGGCGCACACACCTTGGCCACGTCCAACTGGTGGGCTGACACCGGATCCGTGCGCGTGGCCTTGGTGGTATGAAGTCTCTCACCCTCCTGCCCCCTCAAGCACACGCACATACACACGCACATACACACGCACACACACACACACACACACACCTTTTCTCCCTCTCTCTCTCCCAACCCGGCTCTCAGCTCGTTTCGCCCCGACACCTGACCCCTCGCCCCCCTCCCCCGCCTGTCATCCTTCTGGCCTTGGTCAAATAGGTGGCCTTTAAGCCCAAAGATCGCCTCAATTTGTTCCGCTTCCCCCTTCCACTCCCCTTCATGCGGTGAAGAGAAAAAGAAGAGAACAGGTCAGAGAAGCACATTTATTCTTGCCCCTCTGGGACATCGGCCACAATAAAGTACACACACATGTCTCGCCAACGGAGCGACAACCACCCTCGCGGGTTGTTGAAAAGCCCATCTCCTGGGAGACGCCCATCGAGAGAGAGA